TTAGAGAATATTATTTGACTATACAAATTAGAATTGTCTTTAGAAAAATATATATTTTTTTAAGTTGAAGTCTATCAAATTTTACAATTCAATTTACTATGTCAGGAAGTGTGAATAAACTAAAAATGTTAGCAATCGAATATGTTTAAAATTTATCTCAATATTAAAATATGTATGATGATTTAGGCCTCATTTTTGAGTTCGCCTTGGGCCCTAAAAAAGTCAAGGCCAGTCCTATTTAGGCTGCAGTTTTCAACTATTATTATTCTTGTTAGAACAATGATTCAAGGAATTTTTTTTGGTTTCTGATGCAGTCAAGTATCAAGTGAGGCCGGATGATGGTGCTATGGTTGCAACAACACCAGAAGGGAGTCGAATTTCATGTGAAAGATGGTAATTGGCTATTAAAATAATGATTTGCATTTGTTTTCAATGTTTTGGATTAAATATTTATATTGTAGTGAAGTATGAGGGTATAGTTCCATTGACATCTTTTACGGCAAAATCGTTATTTTTTATTCTTTTAGGCCATTTTGTCTAGCACTGAAAATTATCTAAATTGCAACATTTTCTGCATATTTACCAAAATTACATGAAATAATTCACTCACTATTTATTGATTAATACTTGTGCTACAACGCAGACCTTCTATGTTGCAATTTAGCCTCCGTACATCACTCTCCCATAGTTTCATCTGTCTCAATTCAACAGTTATAAAAGAGCTTCATAAATAATAATTAACGAAGAAATATGGAACACCATTGCAAATTAAATATAAAATATAATTACATTTCATTTCGTAAAGTCATAAATCAAATACAATTTTAAAAATATTTTTTTTCAAACTGTAGAACGACCCCCACGCGCAACGCGCATGGGGCCAACTAGTATATGTTATAGATGTAACTTCAACTTACGAGTATTTCATTTTAGGCTCAGTTTGTCTCCAATTTATTTTGTGAATAATATCGTTTAGACTTGTGAGACCTATTATGAACTTCACCATAATGATTTAAGTTGTTGAATTTTAAAATACAACAAATAAATCATTCATTTAAAAAAATAATAAATTATGGTCTCACATAACACCCTTTAATGGTGTGTTAAATTTTAAGTCAAATTTAACAAAATCAAATATTGATACATCGACAAAGGATAATTTTGATCACTAGCTATTTTTTTGTAAAATAGATTAATAATAAAAATTTAATATAGGAGATGATTAGGCTAAAATAACATAAAATCATTTGTACATGTAAGTATAAAAATAAAAAATAAAAAAAGTCATATATTTGGTAACGTTTACATTTTCAGTTTATATTTACAAAAATTTTATAAACTGATTTTTTTTTTATTTTTTGAAAAACATAAACTACAAACGTGTTTGGTAATTGACAAAATGTTTAATTTTAAAAATATAAAAAAGAGTGAGAAATGGCAAGTGGTGGCAAGTGACGGCGGAAGACGGTGGTAGAAAGTGATGACGGTGGGTGGTGGGTAGCTGGTGGTGGTGGGTGGTGGTGGTGGGTGGGTGATGGTAGCGGGTGGTAGCGAGTGGGTGGTGGCGGGTGGTGGGGGGTGGTAGCAAGTGGGTAGTGGATGGCGGGGGGGGGGTGGGGGGGGGGGGGTGACAATGGCGTGGCAGGTTGGCAGGTGGGTGGCGGGTGGCGATGGGTGGTAGCGGATGAGTGGTGGTGGCGGGTAGGGGGCGGGGGGTGATGGTGGGGGGTAGGTGGTAGGGAGGGGGTGGTAGGGGGGAGTAGTGGG